AAATAAGTGGTGTGGGTTTTACGGTACAATAAAACAGTAATAAGTTAGTGTTGTAGTTGAGTAAGTGTTTCATTGGCATACTCATATTAAGGTTATTGTCTCTTTTTTAGGCTAAAAAAATATCACTGATAGAAAATAGTGCTGTGACTGCAGATCTTTGTATCAAGCCTTTACCAAGTAAATACAGGGCCAGTAGTGCCGATACTGATACTTTTAACTTATAAATGCAGCTTATGTAAGGGAGACCAGCGTGCTATGACGAGATATATTAATGGCCAATAAATCACTGTGGGTTTTTAAACACAACAAAAACTCCTGTTAGCTTTTCTCATATTTTGAAACTGGGTTTTTACCCCACAGCTGTAAAAGGCTGATTGTGGCTATTGCTGGGTTTTTGGATGGATGAGGTGGACACCCAAGTTTTTGAATGCAATAACTCGAGAACAAGGAGATGTAAGATTTTCAAACTGATAACATAGGTGTATCTACTAAAGATCTCAGAGGTCAGTAACCTCAAGGTCAGAGGTCATGTTATCTGAAAATCTTGTGAATGTGATAAATAAAGAAGGAAGTTACGTAGGATTTATATAATAGGTGCATAAACTTAAAATCTCAGACGAGTTCAAAATCTCAAGGCCAAGGACAGAGGTAAACTTTTATAAAAATCACCTAGGATTTTCAAATTTATACCATAGGTGCATCTGACAGGAGGCAGAGGGGTAGCACAGGTGGCTACCAGTTTTCCAATACTACCAGTGTTTTGGACCATTTACAATGTAAATGTGCCTGTTTCCAAAGCACTGGGTCAGCTTCTGGTGTTTAAATGTGCTATAGGCTATATATAAAATAGACATGACAGTTAATGCAAAAAGGTTCAGGCAGTTTTCACAGTGCACGTGTTAGGTGTATTTTTCCACTTTCAAAAAATATGATTTCAACATGATTCAGTGAACTACAAACTCAACTTGGAGGCTAGAAACAAAGTATCAATACGATCATGCTGGTATTTATCTGATACCAATAACAGTGTTGGTATCGATACTATAAGTATTTAAATTGATCCGCTCAGCTCTAATAGAAAGTTGTTAAGGTGTCAACATATGTTGAGGCTCCATATTGGGTTAAATAATAGCTACTGCTTGCATAAAAATCATTATTTATATTTTGGGTCAGTTAACCCTAAACTCTATCTATCCTGAGATAATGCATAAAGCCCTCTGTATGTTTGATTTTGCCACTTTGGCAAAAAATATAAAAAAAACTGATTAGTTGCTCAGGGATGCAGAGCATGAAATCAAATATAGTAATTCATTTCTGGAAAAACAGGCTACGGGCCATTTGAGAGGACCTATTTTTTCTGTCACCGTTAATGGTAGCTGGAAATATATGGAGACTTTCATCGTAGCTCAAAAGAATATTAAAGTTCAAGGGTCATTTAACTAGTAATGGACTCTTTATGAACTATATGGTATCTGCTGTTTCCAGACAACCTCACAGTGCTTTGCTCTTTTTCTGTCTTCAACCTCTGTGTCTAATATAGTAGTGTTATAACACAGCAAATGTATTCATTCATTTACTGTACCGCCTTCACATTCATTTGCATTTCGTCTTACAAGGCACAACAGCGAAACTTTTATGAAAACTGGCATGAATGTTTTTCTGCTCTTGTGTCTCTTACAGCTCCTCCTTTAAAGAAAAGACTTTAGAGTGAGTGATGAAGAAGAAGTGATGGACGAGAGGGAAGTTGCAATCTTGGCAGCTGCTTCCTATGAAAAATAAAATAGAGAGACAGACATAAGCTGCAAACAAGGTGAGACAGAACAAAGATGTCATTAGTGAAGACTAACAGGGGTAAGTTGCTATTCCCAGCAGCTGACAAAGGTTTTACACAGAGAAGTACCCAATCACCCACCTGCGTTTTTAAAGTTGAAAATGAAGCGACTGATTCCTAATCGGAAACAGTTCCCAAGTGGTGCATTAGGAGAATAAACATTCCGACATTTGATAGATTTGGTCTTAATGTCTGTTTTTATATTTTCTTGTGACGCTTTTAAAATAACTAAAATTAAATGGCCTGTATTTGTATAGCGCTTTTCTAGTCCCTAAGGACCCCAAAGTGCTTTACATATCCAGTCATCCACCCATTCACACACACATTCACACACTGGTGATGGCAAGCTACATTGTAGCCACAGCCACCCTGGGGCGCACTGACAGAGGCGAGGCTGCCGGACACTGGCGCCACCGGGCCCTCTGACCACCACCAGTAGGCAACGGGTGAAGTTTCTTGCCCAAGTACACAACGACCAAGACTGTCCAAGCTGGGGCTCGAACCGGCAACCTTCCGATTACAAGGCGAACTCCCAACTCTTGAGCCACGACCAATTACACCACCTAGTCAAGAGTAAATGGATAAATCTTTTTCGTCTTTGTTTATTAGCTCTCTCCAACTGTGATTCATCTTGTCAGGGGCTTGGAAGGTCCTTAAAAAAGACATTTTGCAGCTATAAACATTCATTTCAGTATAGATTTCAGAAACATATGCGTTAGCTACATATGCTTGTCAGGGATAGCTCAGTAGGTAGAGTGGTGGCCCCCTGTTTGGAAGGTTGGGAGTGCGAATGCAGAGAGGAATTTCCCCATGCGGATCAATAAAGTATACATTGTTATTATTATTTTATTATTTTTTTCATCCTAAACTAGTTGATAGATTTTTCTCTACTTGTGCTATTTCATGCCTCTGTGTAAAATGTCTCCATCTATAAATGTGAAATGTCACTTGTAGCTTCAGACTTTACTTACATAATGAAATCTGTGTACACTGTGCAAGAACAAGTGGGGATTATGTCACAGGAGCTTCTTTAGCTGAGAGAAAGTAGCGTAAACTGCTGGTTAATACTGCAACCTAGTGTTGGATATAGAAATTAACTTTTCAATAGTGTTAGGAGCAGTGCCAGTGCAGTATGGTGATGCTATGAAACGTGTTTTTAAGCAAGCAATGCTTTTTACGCCTCACTTGTAAATGACTGATGGGTTATTGCCGTCACCCCACTGGGCAGGCGGGCAGCGTGGACACCTAAGTTTGCAAATGCGATGACTAGATAACAAATAATCATGCAGTAAGTGCAGTTTCACAGCTGAGGTCTCTGAAAGGTGATTTATTGGCTGTGTATTGTTACTATAAGTACATTTTTGAAAAGTATGTTTTTAATAGAGATGGCACGATACCACTTTTTTATGTCCGATACCGATAGCGATATCATAAATTTGGATATCTGCCGATACCGATATGAATCCGATATAGTGTGTTTTTTAATCAATAAAACTGCTTTTTGTATAAGTTCATACTCAAGTTAAAAAACAAGAACAACACTAAAGCTATTCTGTTATACATGTATGTAAAAAAAAAAAACAAAACACACTGCACCCAAAATATTTCATAGATCAGCAATACTGATCAATCTAATAAAGTTAAACCTACTCCATCCTCCCTATTCTGGTATTTTAAAGAGTACTTAGCAGAAATATTAAGCAACCTAAC